GATAGATAGATAGATAGATAGATAGATAGATAGATATAGTCATTACTAGCATCAAACTGTAAGTATGCTTTAATTTTATCCAAGTATTTTTTTAATCAATTGCATCATTCTAAATTAAAATCAGACACAGAAAATACTSCACTTATAAAGTCTCAGTTTTGTGTTTTGGTGTTTCCTCCAGATGTCCAGCAGCCATTGGGGATCCATAACGAGGTTGATTGCAACCCAAGTCTGGACCTGCAGGTGCCTGAAACCCGTCACATAAAGGAGGAAAAGGAGGATCTCTGGATCAGTCAGGAAGAGCAGCATCATGGACAAGATGATGAATACAACAGGTTCCTTTTAAATGTTATAGTAAAGAGTGAAGATGATGAAGAGGAAGCTCAGTCCTCACAGATTTATCAAAGTCCAAATGAAGACACTAGAGAGAGAGAACCTCCAATCAGATACACAGTTAATTGGATGGAAATGGAAATTGATGGAGAGGACTGTAGACGACTTGAACTAGTCAGGGACCCTTACACAAATGATTTAAAATCAAATACTAAGAGAGACACTTCAGATTCTGAAACTGGAGTTAATGAGGATGATGAAGACCGACAGGAGCCTTTATCTAAGACCAGCAATGGCTGGAAGAAAAGCAGAGCAGCAAAGTCAAGAAAAACGCAGATTCACACAAAGAAAACTGCAGATTCACATGTGATAGTCTCCACAGGAAAGAAACATTTTGGTTGTATAGACTGTGATAAAACATTTCAGGACGTGTTTAGTCTTAAATCCCACATCAGAGTCCTCACAGGAGAGCAACAGTTTGGATGTGATGTCTGYGGTAAAAGATTCAAATATCAGAATAAAGTCAAAATCCACATGAGGATTCACACCGGGGAGATGCCGTTTAGCTGCAGTGTTTGCAGTAAAAGATTTAAGCATCAGCACAATTTAAAGACACACATGAGAATTCACACAGGAGAAAAACCTTACGTTTGTGATATCTGTGGTAAAACAGCAAGGCATCAGAATCATCTGAATACACACATGATCGTTCATGCAGGAGAGCAACCATTTGGTTGTGATCTTTGTGATAAGAGATTTAAYCGTAAGACGAGCCTTAAAGCGCATAAGGCGGTTCACACGGGAGAGAAACCATTCAGTTGTGAGGTTTGTGGTAAAAGTTTTAAGCGAAAAACGCATCTCAATACCCACATGACTGTTCACACAGAGGAAAAGCTGTTTGGCTGCAAAGTTTGTAATAAAAGGTTCAACTGTAAAACATACCTTGCAAAACATTTGGCAGTTCACACGGGAGAGAAGCCATATAGTTGTGACTTTTGTGATAAAAGATTCACCCGGAAAACACATTTGAATTCGCACCTCACAGTTCATACAGGTGAAAAGCCTTTTGGTTGTGGCGTTTGTGGTCAAGAATTCACCCAACAGGGAAGTTTAAACCGACACATGACTTTCCACTTGGGCTAATAAATGTTGCCGTGTGGCATGTCGTTTTACACATGTGAAACCTCTGCAGTCAAACGTATGCATGGCTTGCATCGTAACCGTACAGTTGGCTTTCTTTTGCCACCATACAAAAATAATTTGTTTATCCTCGTTTGTCTWATTAAAGTATTTATGCAACAGATTATTTCCACTTGTGCTTCTGCTARTGTACGTACAGTTTCAGAGCTCCTAAGAAATCTCAACGTAAGCGTAAACTTCAAGGTCAAGWCTTAATGGGAACTACAAAAAAATTGATTTATTTTCAGTTAAACCAAATAAATAATAAAGCTGTGTGTTCATTTAAAACAGGCCCAGCAGAACTCATTCACCACTAATTAGGAAGGCATTGATTATATAAATCTTTTAATCAACACCTGATAATATGTTGCTTGATGAGTTTAATATTTTGCTGAATGAATGCTGCCAGACTTTAATTATAAAAACCTATAAAACTGTTTACGCAGCTTTTAGTAGTGGAATACATGCTGAAGGTTGTGTATCAATTACACCTTTTAATAGTAGGACAGCAAAGTATCTTGTTCTAAATAATCCCAGTATAATATTGTTTTTGTTTCAGAGCAATAACCTGACAGGTTAAGTGACRTTAAAAGTCAGAGTTGTTAAGTAACTAAGTACAAATACTTTGTTGCTGTACTTAAAGTGCCTGTGACATGCCTATCCTTCAAATACAAAAAGTGAAAGAAAGCATTTTTATACTTAAGAAAATTGGCATAGTACACATGATTTTACCCATTTTGTCACATAATTGGCCAATTTTCTTTTTAATTTGGCTCAGCCAAAGTGAAACAGGAAGTGACATCAAAGGGGAACTCATTAATGAAATAAACTCTCTGGTCTTTGTTTATTAAAACAAAAGTGATTAAACTTTAACTCTTCTTCGTCTCTCTTTGATTGCGACTAAAAATAATGTAAAGAAACATCTGATTCTTCTCTACTGTCTGTGTTGTTAGCTTTTGTAACAAAGCTATGTTTACATGCTGACATTCCCCTTTGACATCACTTCCTGTTTCTTCACATGCAAATATCTCAACAACCATTCATTTCAGCGACATGAAATTTGTTTTTGTAATATGTTATCAGTGTTATCGTTCCAAAAATGCATTCATGTTTATTACAAAAATTTGATGTCACAAGCACTTTAAGTAGAAATTATGGTTATCTGTACTTGAGTAATTATTTTTCAGACTACCGGTACATTTTACTTCTACTCCTTACATTTTTACACAATTATCTGTACTTTCTACTTATTACATTTTTAAACAAGGTAAAAAGCAAGTCTCTACTCCTATATAATTTGGGCTCGTTATTGTTAAAAATATTATTCTGATAAATTGTGCCTCCTGGAAAGAGTGAATTTAATTGTAGTTGGATGAGAAGTATTAAAACCATTCTGACACCAGATTGTACACAGTCCATYRCAGCTGCACMCYTTWRAAWWTTTTTTGAAGCGTTCACCTCCCAATTAATGTCATTTTGAAAAACCTGATCGCTCCTTTTTACTCAGTACTTTTACTTTTAATACTTAAATACATTTTATGTCAGAAATTTACTTTTGCTACGTCAGTACAAAAAAAATCAGATACTTGATATGACTTTTACTCAAGTAATATTCTTGGAGGAGACTTTAACTTGTACCAGAGTAGTTTCATGATAAGATACCTGTACTTGTACCTCAAAGTGATACTTGAGTAATTTATACAACACTGTTAAAAATCACAAACTAAAATCCAGACATATTCTGCACACGACATGTAAATGTGCTTCATCTTCTGATCCAGCAGATGGCGCTCAAAGGTTTGACTCATTCCCCTGCAGGAAACAAGGTGACAGAAGAATAAAAGAGGTTTAAAAACTATGTGAGCTGATGGCAACAATAAGGTTTCATTTAGACATTTGAAAGAGTTAATTCAGTCGATCAGCCTCTTGCCGGAAGAGTTCAGCTTCAGCAGGAACTTCACCTGAATCATCAGCCGAGATTCTGCACAAACAGGTCAGAGAAACAGACAAAAAATCATGCTGCAAAGTTATCAAAACAAGTTCAGCCCACATGAAATCAGAGTCCATCTTCTGTCAGTGAATGACCATAACCTGGGACTTTCAAGACAAAAATCATAAAAAAAGAGTTTTGATGAGAACTGTTTCAGGATCAGCAGGAAAATAAAGAAAATTAAGCAGCAGGGAGGGCAGGGATTGGTGGACGTAGTTGCCATGGTAACATAATTTGAGGGATAAGATCAGTTCATGTGTGAGATTTACTTTTAACAGAAAAGATTCAAGTAAAAGCTGATAAATGATCTAAATTTAACTTTAGAGCTAAGATGTTCTGTTTTTATTTTATCCATTTAACTCGGAGCTCAGATGACATCTGTTTGACTTTATTTTATTTATGTATTCACAAATTTTTCCAGAGCAAACCCATAATAATTTGACTGTTTCTGTATTAATCCACTGTTGAATATACATAGTCCCACAGTACAAGCTGGAAAAGGCGTGTTATGTCAGAGCTTTTATTTGATCAAAAATAAATTTTTAGTAGTCATTTTTAAACTATTATCTGTATAAATGTGTTCCTTGCGAAGAAAAAGTAAGCAGTTTCAAAACCTGCTCCAGGATTTATTTGAAAAAAAAAACTGTTTTTGAGGAACAAAAGTATCTTTTTTTGCCCAGCTTTATTTTTGTTCTACTGTTGTCACTGTTTTTATGATCCAGCTCAAACATTTATGGTTTAAACAAGTGAAATGTTGACTTTTAACTAATCTAGTTAACATGTATCCAGATCAGCTTTTTTTGCTAACACATGAGGTTTTATCATGGCTGACAGGAAGGTTGCAACGGTCCCCATACAATAAATCCATATAAAAACAGAGCACATACAGATGAGATTAAGATGTTGAAATTTAGTTTACACTTAAAAGGGTGTTGGGTATTCATGACAATTTTATAGTTTAAAACACAAAAGTGTTTAAGATGTATTTTCTGCAGTTGTTGTTTTCAACAATGGTTTTAAAATCTCAGTTTCTTTCAAAGTAAATGTTACATACTGTAGGCGTACAGTGACAACAGGCAAAACAAAAGTTAATTGTCTCACAAATTGTTCTATTATTCTTGTCTCTAAAAGTCAACTGTATTTTATATCAGAGTCTTTGACATCTGTATATAAGGTCTACTCATCAAGACAAATCTATATTTGTCATTTGATCAAAAAGAATAAATAAATAACATTGTAATATCATTATAAGTGACAGTTTTTATTAATTTAGCAATAATATAAATATAAAAATAATAAAGCTTTTATTTACAGTGAAATATATTGTATTAATAATATGTTGCAACCACCCCAAAACAATGCTGCAACTGTTCCTTGGGTCAGTTGCAACATCTGACTTTTCATTTTCAAATACAAATTGTGAAGAATGTACATGCTTTAATMATCTATAAATGGTTTTGACTACTAACAGACAGATGTAAGTTTATTGTGTTAAAGTTTGTTTTGTCTAATTCAAACCTTCTCTGAATAACCCGGTATCCCATATTCTGTAGTTTGTGACCAAAACATCTTTCTGAGTCAGGTAAACTAAGACCCTCATGACCCTCAGGAGGGAGGGGAGGGAGTTTAATCTGGTTTGACTTTACGGATGATTTAAATGTGAAAAGAAGCAGGATTTGTCCATTTTTGAAGTTTCCTTAGCTGCTGGATCAGAGATCAGATAATGAGATCATCTTCATGACACATAATGACCACCTGTTTTTTCATCATACGAGTTGTTATTAACACGCTGCCATCATGGAGTCATTTCTTCACTGATGAACGTTTCTCTGCTGCAGACTCATCAGGAACTGAAGTTTGTTCTGTTTCGATTTTGAAAGAACCTCTTCTTTGTTTAATGAATCGTCTTYGGCACCTCTCTGGATCAGTCCGGCCTCGCTGACCTGTTGTGGGGGGTTTTAGTCACGCTGGCTCGGATCAAACCTTCTGGGTCCTAACGACGTCTGTCAGCGGTGATCTCAGAGGAACACGTCACCGCAGCAGATCAAACCAGAGGCTGGAGGAGGCGCGCCGTGTCCTGCACGCTGGGAGTTTCACAAACTGAAGGAGGTTTCATCACTTTCCTGCCTCCAGTCTTTCCCTCCATCAATTTTTCCAACCGAGCAACTGAAACACGACAGATGATTGTTTTCTGAAAAATCCATTTCATACAGATGAAGAAATGAGAAAAGCTTCCACAGATCAGCCTRTCTAATAAAAGAACAAGATTCAGCCTCCTGCGGCCTTGAAGCTGCCACACGTCTCCTGATGGAGACAGGTTCCATCAAAGCTTGATTCTGGATGCAGCAGGCRGGACGGACCGGGACCAGAACCTTCCTCGGGTCAGAGGGATGGAGCCGATGAYGCAGTTTATCTGCTGTCTTTATGTGCTGAAGACAGTTGAGAAGGTTTTGGTAGGTTGTTCCTGAATGCATCAGAGTTGCAGGGTWCCATCAGAACAAACAGATCCAGGGACCGTTTCAAAGTTTATTATTGTTGAATTAAAATATCTTCAAATATCAAACGTTCTGCAGTGTTACTCAGTGAGAAGTGTTGTAAAAGTGAAAATAATGAATATTGTCAGGTTGATGAAAACAGATTTTTCCTCCTGGTTGCAGCAGAAACTCCATCAGTTCATCCATATTTTACAGAGTGTGTGTCAGTGTTGTGTAGTGGTGTGTAGATGTGTGTAGTGTGAGGCTCTGTGTTATCAGCTCTGGGGCCTGCAGAGCAGAAGAAGAAACTAAAATCAGTTTGAGCGAGGCCCACTCACCTCCCAGAGTCGGTTCTGATTTAGACCCATGGTTCCCCGAAGGTTTCTGCTCCCTCATCCATCATAGAAGCAGCTGAAGAGTTTCTGCTTTGTGTTTACCTGCTGGACACCAAGGTGAGACGTGTTGGTCATGTCCCTCTGACGTGTCGGACACGTCCCGCTTACGTGTCGGACACGTTTCTGACGTGTCGAACATGTTTCTGACGTGTCGGACACGTCCCACTGACATGTCGGACACGTCCCGCAGGAGGACGATCCACAAATGTTCTGCAGATTCCTGTCGGCAGGTTTGAAACAGAAAAACAAAAGATGTTGAAGAAGAGATCAAACATCCATCCATCCATCCATCCATCCATCCATCCATCCATCCATCCATCCATCCATCCATCCATCATCCATCCATCCATCA